GAAAAAAACTCGATCTATACAATAAACATTAATACGCAATGGCTGCGTTCAGTAGACTCAACAGTTGAGTGAGCGCTCGTTACTATTGGTGTATTCTTTTAGATTTAAAATTTGATTGGATGATCTAAAAGAATACACTAATAACAGCAAGTGCTCACTCAACTGTTGAGTCTGCTGAACGCAGCCATTGTATACTCTCTCTATAATGTCTATATTGTATACAATAGACGTAATATGTTATCTAGCGGGAAAATTTTTGTGATTGGCTACTTTAGTTCAATATGTGGGCGTTCTGGATGAAGTTTCTTTATCTATCTATACCGAGTGACAGCTCGAGAATAACTGAAGAATTTTGAATGTCCGAACGTAGGTAACATTGCGGTAATGGTAATATATCGACTTGAATTTAGCGCCGCATATATACTGCTGATAATAAAGATATATATAGGAACAACCTGTATTATCAATAAAACTAGCATTTTTGATAATATATAGTTTCGTTCCTGTTCAATTTTTTCGTAAGTTTCACAGAATAAAAATTCCTTTTCCACGATTAAAATATACATGCTAATGTACCTGCCTCTGATGTATTTTAAACTTGAAAAATCAATTTTTAACCAAAATTCAACTTTATCTTTTTGAAAAAAAAACGTAAAAAAATGAAGAAGGCAGATAAAGACTACAATTTTTAATGTACTTTAAGATTTTTTTTGAATTTTTTGTTTCAGATGAACCAGGTCGTAGACATTTACCGTGAAATTCTAGGCATACCGTGTAATGCCTAGAAAGAAAGAGGCGTATTTTTCAGTGAAAATAAAATAAAAAATTTGCAATTAATAGTAAAAAATGTATGTTTTTATATTTACACAAAATTCAATCTTTGTATAGTTTATATATCTTTTCTAGAAAAAAAGACATGAAAAAGGCAAACTTTTTAAAGCCAAGAATCTTATGCCCTCTTAAGCTGGTTCTACATTAATTGCAACTCGATCGCAAGTTCGTTAAGACAGCCAATTTCAAGCTTGCATTTTGAAATCAACGCTTCAGATTGACTGTCGCAACAAACTTGCGATCGGCTTGCAACTAATGTAGAACCGGCTTTATAGAGAGGTGCAATTCACAAAGTAACGATGTTAGTGTGCCAAAACTTGAAAATCTTATATAATATTCGGATTATTTCAATAAATTAAGGTTTACCTATCCTAGGTAAATCCTGACAAACAAAATGCATTTGCAACGTTTATCACGCGATAGCCAATCAGAAGCATCTACTGATCACTTCTAATTAACAATCGCTGCAAACGTTGCGAATGCATATTGCGACTTACCTAGAATATTCCATTTTATGCATAATGCATGATGCATCATTTCATCATCCTTTGTTTATTCGGTAAATAACAATAATTAAAGAACGAAAATATTAATAATCGAATAATGCGTTATATAGTTTCACGCAGTAATAATTTAAAATAATTTTGATTCATGTTTCAATATAAATGATCAAAATAATCAAAATATAAAATTGGTAGAACATTTGACAAATATTAAAAAATTGTCGAGAACAGCAAGGGAAAGTATAAAAACATGTATAATCTTATTTATAATTGTTTATTTAATTGGTAAATCAATTATTTCAATATATTTTATATATCAATCTTTCTATGGCCAGTTAGATTGTGTGTATTTACATTATAAAATTTGAAATTATGATAAAATAAATAACCAATGATTATATTAAAATTGACATGTATGAATGTTTAAACTATCCATGAATTCCCCCCCCCCCTCCCCTCTCTCTATCTCTCTCACTGCTTCTAATTTAAGAAAATTCTAGTAAATAGATAAAAATTAAACCGGTATATTTTCGCTAAATGTAATAGAAAGTAAGTATTCAAATGCAGCGTGTTGCAAATACAATCAACTGCGGCATAATAATAATTTTCTTTCTTCTATATGCTTACAAATATTATCTCTTGTCATACATACATACATACATATATTCGTACATGTGTACATATGTATGTATTTACAGACGTCATTCAGCTTTTCTCCTCCTTATCTTTCAATGATTTTATTTTTCGACCTAACATATCATAAACAGTAGGGTTTGGTTCTGTTTCCTGATCTGTATCAGAACTACAATCACTGTCACTAGAATTATTATATGTTCCAAGACCAGGTAATATACCAATACATTTGAGTCCGCTATACAAGTAATTTGCATTTACTTGATTTTGTGTAGTCTTATCGTTTTGTTTATCTGATTTGGGACTAGAAAGAGAAGAATCCACGCGTGCAACTGGTTCACAAGATGCATGTGGCTCTTTCTTTTTGCTAATATCGGCATTATCTTTGGATGGAGACAATTTTCTCTTTATTCCTTTAAGTCCTTCTTCTGCATTAAATAATAAATATATCAAATAGACTATTATTCAACTGTTTCATAGAATATTTTTAAAACACTTTACCTTGTTTTTGTTTGTCAGGTCGTTTCAATACAATGCCTGCAGGTAATTTTAACTGCAAAGTACGACTAAAACATAATTAAAGTTGAATAATTTCTATCGTTATATTATTAAATATATTCAAGAATTAATCTCTGGACTTGAATTTTATTCAAAATATCACAGCTTTCAAAATAGAAACTCATTATGATATTATAATGTCAAAAATAATACAATATTCTTTCTATTATATTATAATTTAATTTGCCTTTCACACAGTACCTTCCACAGGCAGCATTTTTACTGCTAACAGGTAGATTCTTCAATTCTTGCTTTAATTTTTCATTTAATTTCTGTTCTTGAAGAGAAGCAACTGCAGCTTTAAAATCACGCATTTCTTTTTCTTCTTCAAGATTCTTTTTACGTTCTTCTTCTATCTTAGTTCTATCAACTAAGTCCAAAAATTCAACTTCATCATCATCTAATCCTTTGATCATATTTTCTGAAAAAAAAGTATATATGTATACATCAAAATGTATTTTTTAGAATATTATTTTAAATGTCAACAATAAATTGAAGTATTAAAAACATTGTAGTTACAAATATTGAGATATTCCATGTTGATATAATTTTCAATCATTTTAAATTATTAACAAATATTAATATTTGTTAACATAAATAACAAAAAGAGTAGTATAAAATAACTTATGAAGAGAAAGGTTATTAATTCTTATTAATTGTTTACATTTTAATATATATTAAAATAAAAGAAATCCATGTACTATATTAGAAATCACATACATACAAATGAGTACTTAATTTATGGTAGATCCATAATTCAAACAAAATCAATTTCACTTTTTCACTTACTTAGCTTGTGAGCTTCTTCATACTCTATGTCTCTTTTATTTTTCTGTTCCTGCAATCTCTCATACAATGATCTAGGATCATAAGGTTCATCTGGAGCTTCTATAAATCATTAGATAAATAAGATTTCTTATCAGTTATTATTCATAAACACTCAAAATCGATAAATTAACGTTAATAAATGTTTGCATTTGTTTGCAATTGCATAGGAGTGGCTGTATAAATATAGACACACAGAACAGTGAAGCTAACCTAAAGGTTGATCGGCAGTCCGTACACGTTCCCATTCCTCCTGTCGCATTCGCCGTTGTTCGGCAATTTCGGCTTCCGATATGAAACCTGAGCTCATTTTCACTTTATGTAAATAATCTTGACGAAAGACAATCCACAGCACCCGCAAATGTTTTTTCGTACACGTCTCGGTAAAATATATGAAACATAGACCCACATACATACACGATCGCGATTGACTACCTGCGCTACCTGCACATTCTGCAGCTATCTAGACCATGGCCACGGAATACTCCGTGATCATGGCATGGTAAACGTGCGCACGAACATACCCTTGTCTTTATACCAGAGAGAAACAGGTTTCTCTGTTTATACCAAGGGTATGCTCGTGCGCACTAGAGGCCTAGAAAACAGAGATGCGACATTGCGTCGGTTGGGTTAGGTAACCACCGCCATTTGAATTCAATATAAGTGCTCTTGACGCAGTGTTGCCAGATTTGGGGGTTTCCCCCTAGTTCTAGGGGGTTTTTTACCTTACAGGGGGAAATCTGGGGGGCAAAAATGTTTGAAGGGAAATCTGGGGTTTTTTCGATTATTTGTCGAGACGTAACGGCGGAATGAAAGGATTGGAAGGAACCAATCAAATCAGATTTTGATTGTTTACCTTTGTCTAACCTACGGTATAAAGCGGGGAGCACAGACTTTTGCATAACGCATAAAGCATGTGCATAAGGAATTTCATTGGTCCATTTTCTTATGCATGAGTCAATGGACCAATCAAATTCTTTATGTATATGGTTTATGCGTTATGCAAAAGTCTGTGCTCCCCGCTTAACACGGAAAAGAACCTGCAACATACCTATTTTACATACAGCCCACATTTCGTTCACCTCTACAGAAGATTATTGGATTGGTATTAATGAAATACTCAATGCAGGTGGACAACAGCGATATGGACATATCTGTAAATTAATTTTAGCTATTTTAAGTTTACCATTTTCTAACGCGAGCGTGGAGAGAATGTTCTCGATCATGAATATTATAAAAGACAAGTTAAGAAACAATATGTTCATAAAAACCACAGAAACAATTTTACGTGTAAGGGACAATCTTTTGGATGGATGTATAAATTTCGAACCTTCAAAAGAAATGATTCGAAAATTTAATTCGGAAAATATGTACTCTTCGAATTTTGTTGAAAGCGTGTTGGAGACATTTGTGAAAAATAATATAATATAGAATGGTATATGTGTGTTCAAATGCAAATAATTTTAATGCAATAAACAATGTAATACATTCTTCTTCTCTCTCTCCCTTTTTTTTTTTTTTTTTGGTGCCGACGGTTTATAGGGCCTGAAAACTCGCTTGAAGTTTTTGGGGGGTTTTTTGTTCATATAGGGGGAATTAGCATTACTTGTGGGGGGTTTTGGCTCTGGGCATCTGGCAACACTGTCTTGACCAATAAGCTGATGACAGTTGATGCAAAAGGTAGAAAGATTAGATTAGGTTAGGTGAAGTCCGATATTAAATATTCACACAAATAGGTAAGAATACTTACACCATAATAATAGTTTTTTATTGCACTTCGACACTGTATTGTCTAAATTTTTCTCTATATATATATGTACTACATACGTTATAAAACTATATCTATTAGATGCAATAGTGAATTAAAATGGCTCTCTGATCACGTGTTTTAGACAGCCAATCAAGCCATACCCTTCAATGACGCATCTCTAGAAAATACCTTGATCTTCAACCCATACCGATATATCCATGTAATTCGCAAGACATGAATATCCACAGAACAAGTAGGCACACGCATCTGGACATAATACCTGTAAAGGAAATAAACACGAAAGCCTTTAGAATAATTTTTGATAATGTCCATTATGTAATGCCTCTTTTACATTTATAATTGTACGCATTCTGTTAAAAGATATGTTTTTCTCTTGCATATTTCTGTATATATGTATATTTATTTTCGTTTTCTTTTACAGTTGTATATCAAGTTATTTCTTTGTAAATAGAAAAAATAATAATTTTTTCAACGTCTCTTGTAACAAAGCTATGAATAGATTTCTTAAAGAAAAAAAAGAAAAGTAATTTTGAGCCACAGTCTTCTCCATTTGGTTACAAATCAACCTACAAAAGATCAGTTCATGTCTATAGCTCTTCTGGAGATGAAACAGATGGTATGTATGCTTTTAATTTCGTTATTCGTCTTTAGAATTGTTTCATATCTCTATATTTTTGAAATCAATTTATATAATGCTCGTATAATTGAATATTCCTCTAATAATTAAATATATCCATTTTATATAGAACAAAACTCAGTAAACATCTCTCAGTCAAGATCTTCTATTTATATGCAAGATGACATGAGCAATTATGACCTTTATAATAAAGAAATAGGTGGTATGTACAATTTTAATTTCGTTATTTATATAAAAAAAGTTTTAAAAAAGTAATTCAAAATTGTTTAAGTATATATATACAATCAACTCTTTTTATACAAGATAGGTCACGGGTTGCTTTCTACACTTAAATCCATCAAAAAACTAAAAAAGTCAGTAAACACTTCGTTGAATCTAAATGTAGAAACTGTAATAAAGAATCACTGAACTGATCACTGAATCACTCATCTTATTTCTTACTAACATAAGTGTTTGTAAATGAGTAACATTTCTATACTAATTAAATATAAGTTTTCTATGTTTTAGAACAAGAATCAGTTTCTTTTGCTTCAACCTCTACTTCCATTCATAAAGTTTTAAACGTGAGCAAAAATAAGAATATCCATGAGAATAAAGAAAAAAATAGTACGTATAATTTTGCATTTCTTCTGTGTATTTATTTCTATATAATATTAATATTTGTAATACATGTTATAGAGCACACAAAGTATGAAACCAATCTTTCTATAATACCTCATTCAAAATATATACGAACTTATTTCTATAACAATACTGATAATGAACAAGAATTGAATAGTACGTATACTTTCAATTTTTTCCCATTTTTACATTTTTCATTTTTATTTCTATATTCTGCGATATATTGGTTCTTAAAAAAAAAACCACAATATATTTACAACTTACAATATATAAGTATATATATGTATATGTATATATATATACTTTCAATATATTCATTATTAAATATAATATAAATTGCTTATGTTACAGAATCTATAGGAAAAAAATTAAAGCTTGTATCTTCATCTTCTAAATACAGACAAGCATCGATTGACAATTACGATATTAATAATGGGAAAAATGGTATGCACAATTTTAATTTCATTAAATGTTTGTAGAGAAAAATAACTTTCCAGGGTTGTATAAATGTAACGAAACTATCTTTTTCGTTATCTTTTTTTTTACATAATTATTGCCTTTCCTAGTGAGTAAAAAAAAATAACGACACAGTAACGAGAAAGTAACTTTTAACGACCCTGACTTCTTCTATCTACACATAATTAATATAAATAATATAATGTGAATTATACATACTATAGAAGAAGAACTTAACCGTGTGCCAATAGCTTCTCCCATTTCTAAACAAGCCTCTACTAATGTTTATGATACAAGTGATGATGATGAGATGGATGGTATGTATAATAACTTTCTTTCTTTTTCCCTTTATGTATAATAAGAAATAGAAATATCTAAAATGACATGAAAAATCTTATTAAAATATGTATATTTTGAACAAAAAAGGACCCCACACCATTCTTATGAGAAAATATCTTTCTGCGAATTTGGCTCATTTTGGGATATGTTGTAGTTCTTTTCATTCTGAACAAATGTTTCAATGGGCACAACTTGAGCCTATGAGCCGTTTCTGCGCTACAATCCTTCAAAGATTCAGATTTAATACATTATATTTAGGTATAGTAGTATCTTGGACCCTTCAAGGCTTGCGCGGAAACGGCTCATAAGATCAAGTTGTGCCCATTGAGAAAATTTAGCCAAATCCGCAGACATTATCTCATAAGAACAGTGTGGGTTCCTTTATATATATTTGTAAAATAATTAATGTTCACATAAATTAATGTTCTAACTAAAATAATATTTCTTTAATCATATATGTACACGTGTCTTATAGAACAAGACTTTTATGCGCCTTTCACTTCTAATCAACTCCCCAACGTGAACAATAACAAGGGTAGGAAGTTACATAAGAATATTGAAATAAATGGTACATATAATTTTAATATTTTATTCTTTATCTATATGTAATACTTGCATTATCTGTTATAAAAAAAAACTATTTCTAAATAAGTTAAAAAAAGAATCTCTCTCTGTGTGTGTGTGTGTGTGTACGTGTGCGTGTGTGTGTGTGCGTGCGCGCGCGCGCGCGCGTAAGCAAATAGAAAGATATTAAAATATTAATATTTTAAACATAAAAAAATATCTATGAAACTAATAATTAAAGAACAATAAATGTTCTTTATATAAAATTTACGATATCAACTAATTTTAATTATAGGTATATTTGCTGCGCATCTTAAGATTACTTTCCTTCAAAACTAATACATTCTACAATATATTTAAAAAACACATTATATTTACAACTTATAATATATTTTTAAAAAATGACAATTATATATATCATTTGATAGAGCAAAGTTTTTAAAACAATGTTTTATTCATAATTAAATATAAATTGCTTATATTACAGAATCTACAGGAAAACAATTAAAGCTTATGTCTTCATCTTTGAAATACAGAAAAGTATCAACTGACAATTATAATATTAATAACGGGAAAAATGATAAGTACAATTTTAATTTCATTAAATGTAGAAAAAAATGATTTTCCAGGGTTGTATCAGTTATATAAAAATGTAACAAAGTAATCTTTTTCGTTACCCCTTTTTACGTAATTATTGCTTTTCCTAGTGAGTAACAATAATGATAATTAAAGGCCGCAGTACAGACTTGCATAACGCATAATACATAGTGCATAAGAATCAACTAATCGAAATTCTTTTTCTTGAAATGGGAGAAAATATTTTGATTGGTTGATTCCGCTTATGCACTATGCGTTATGTGTTATGATAAATCTGTGCTGCCGTTTCTAATACAATCTTATAGTATTTAGTTATTTAGCGTTACTATCATAAAAAATTACAACGTCATTATAACTTGTTTATTATAAAAAGTAACGACGCAGTAACAAGAAAGTGACTTTTAATAACCCTGACTTCTTTTATCTACATATAATTAATATAATTAATATAAAGAAAATTATGCATACTATAGAAGAACTCAACCGTGTGCCAATGGCTTCGTCCATTTCCAAACAAGCCTCTATTAATGTTCATGATATATGTGATGATGATGATAAGATGGATGGTATGTATAATGGCTTCCTTTCTCTTTCCTTTACCTGTAATAAAAATATAAATAGAAATATCTGACATCACATTAGAAATCTTAAGATAAACAGAAAGATATTAAAAGACAAATAGATAGATATTAGAAAAGTAAGACAAATAGAAAGATATTAAATTTAAGATATTAAATAAATAAGATATTAATATTTTGAACATAAAAAAATGTATATATGAAATTAATAATTAAATAATAATATAAATGTTCTTTATATAAAATTTACGATATCAATTAATTTGGATAGCTATATCTGCTACGCATCTTTTCGAAAATCATTTGCTATATATTAATATATAACTATTTAAAAGAATAATGAAAATTTTTCTTTCTGATACAGATATCCTATCTGAATATGAATCCATTCAGAAAGATGTAGGTGCGGATAAAATTTTGATTCTCAACATACATGTTGTAGTAAGTACTGCCATTGTATATTTTTGTTACTAAATTATATTCTTTTCTTCCTGCATTGTATACTTTTCTTATTAAATTATCTCTCTCTCTCTGATTTTCACTACGTTTTTCTACTGTGCGCAGTCTGATAACAAGACTCGTTTAGTGCTCTCTTTCTCGCAAAAGAACAAAATTATTTTACGTGTTTACACGTTTACTAAACTTTTTCTTATTTTAATTTTATTTCCATTAATATTAAAAAATTTGTGTGCGTGTTGTTTCAATCTTTGTAAAAAGAAGTAAAAAATCTATGACAGTTTAATATTATAAAACTTGTTTATAGAAAATTTAATTCTTTCAACTTTTAGTTACATAACAAGAAGATCGATTGTATATATCAGAAAATTGTAAATATTCTAAATTTTTGTAATTTTATTACATTACTTTAATCTCGATTTAATTTGCTCTTCGTCTTTTTCTGGTTCTAAAAATTAGAAAAAGATGAATAGTAAATTAAATCGAGATTAAAGTTAATCTACATCGGTGGAAACGGACATAAAGGTATCTATATGTAAACTCAATCATTATTGCCAAGTCTACTTGAAATCAGTGTTATTAGACGGACTCCCGTTTTCGTGCATGCGCATTAAATGTAGTCTCATTGCAGTACTTAACTCGAGCAAAATATGGCCCTCTATAATAAAGGTGTAATATTATACAATATATGCAAATATAAATAACATTTATGTAATTTAATACAATTTAAAGTATTAATCAATACAACAAATATTATAAAGATAAGACAACAAAGGGAATAATGTCAAAATAATTGTTTTTAAACACAATTTTATATAAATAAAAATTCTTACTTATATTTTTAATATATTATATATATATATATTTTTTCTTTATCTGTTAGTCTGTTCAATAAAAACAAATTGAATAAAATTAAAAACTCAAAATCTTGATTTAAAAGCTAATGTACAGAATCAGATGCTCGTCGCATATTGCGTATCACGCTGGTGTGCCGGAGCTATAAGAATTATATCACCGAATTCATCGATGATTATTAAAACGGTCGACCAAAAGTATTTTAACTTTTAACAAAGGGGTCGCTGGAAACATTGAAAATTGTGAAAATCCAGTCGCAATCGAAAAATATCTCATTCGTAAGATCTTAAGCTTGAAATTAGTTGAAATACGAATATAAATATCACATGTTTTAATAATGTAAATAATTAAATAAATGTATATAAAATGTAAATAAAATTGTTGATACTTTCCTTGCAGAAATAGGAATTCGTATACGGGGGAGATTTAGTAAAGTGCATGCACACCACTCTGTATGTGAATATGAGATAGAACACAGTTTCTTTATTATAAATCAAAGAGAACACACACGTTTTACCGCGTACCGTGAGAGACGTGTATCAGTCTCGGCGCTCAAAAACGAATACATACAATAAAAGGTAACGGACGCAGGACAAAGCTCGACCCGCGCAAGAAGGGGCGCGCTCATTGGCCGCCTCGATTGCGCCGTCTCGAGCACGTCGATCTCGCGTGCTCCACTGGAATGTAAGAGAGGAAGGCGGACACGCATCAACAAAAATTAAATAAGTAGTTTAACTAAAATTAAACATATTTTAAATAATATTAAAAGAAAAATGTTTTAATCTATTTTAAACATGTTTTAAACATGTTTTTTATTAATGTTGTTTAAAACTTATTTAAAATCTCCGTCTGACTCTGGGGGGAATGTTTCTGATAGTATTGTTATAAATTCTTCTACTTTTTATAATTCTTTTTTTTGAACAGTCTTCAACATCTTTAACTACAATAAGGAATAAATGGTTTATCAATTTGTCTTCTATTCAGATTCCTAATGAGGTACAATTCTTATTACAACTAGGAGATAATTTCTCATTACCTTTCAATAATTTCCAAAACATAGCTATTGAATTAATTAAAAATATTGAAAATAATGTCAAAAAACTACAAACTTCAGTACACAATACTATCAGAAATAGATCTTGGAATATTGTTAGTCGGTGTATTTCCTTCAAATACAAAAAGTCTTTTCCATTTTCTACTCTTAAAGATCTTACTTTTGCTACTAAGAAATTCGTTAGGAATAATCCAAATGTCATTTTTACAAAGGCTGACAAAGGTAATATCACAGTGGCATTAGATAAAAAAGATTACCTTGATAAGGTTAATGTTACGTTACAGGATACTTATATACATACATAAGAATTAATAAAGATCCGTTAGCCTCTTTGACTTATAGATTAAAATGCTTGCTTGTTAGATGGAAAAGAATGGAGTTTGTTTCTTGCGTCATTTATAAGAAGTTATACTGTGGTGATGGCAATTTGCCAAGAGCATATGCGTTGCCTAAGGTTCACAAGCCTGATTGCCCATTACGTATAATTATCTCTTCAATAGATAGCCCACTCTATAATTTGGCAACTTTCTTACATGAATTGATTATCAAAAGTATTCCGAAAGCACCTAGCTTTATCAACAACAGTTTTCAATTGGTGAAGAATCTTAAGAACACTAAAATAAATACAGATTTTGGACTAATTTCTTTGGATGTTACTTCTCTTTTTACTAACATTCCTACTACATTGGTGATTTCGGCTCTAGACAGGAGGTGGAATTGCATTTCAGTTAATTGTAAGTTACCTAAAAAAGAATTTCTTGATGCATTAAAAATGGTACTTGATTCAACTTTCTTCACTTTTGATGGTCAATTCTATAAACAAAAATTTGGTATTCCGATGGGTTCACCTTTATCTCCGGTGGTTGCGGATTTAGTTATGCAGGATTTGGAGAATTGGGTGATGGGGAAATTGAAATTTTCGTTTATGTTTTATTATAGATATGTAGATGATCTTCTTATTTGCCTTCCTTATATGGAATTTGACAATACTTTAAATCTTTTTAATTCTTACCATCCAAGAATAAAATTTACAATAGAAAGAGGAGGTAACATTATTGAGATCTTACAATAGAAATTGAATGTTACTATTACATGTATTACTTTTTAGTAATACTATTAATCAAACACAATTATATTTAAACATGTACATTTTAATATTGTGATCAAGATGTTACATTACACAAATATCTTTAGAGAAAAATAGAAATAATTAATTGTTCACATAGATGAACGAATTACACAGAATAAATCTAGTTGTTAATTACACTTATCTGATATATTCTGACCATCCTTATAGATCATCACATAAGTATTAAACGCTTTATAAATATATATAAAATAATATGTAAGGCCTTACATCCGCAACGCACGACAGATCTGATGAGTGAGCAGAGCATCAAAAAATAACAGTAGACATTCATGCATTAATTACAAATGTAGCTAAACGTAATCTGAATATCAGCTTTATTCAACTCAATCAATCGAATTAATCGATCGACAACTGAATTAGTTAGATCAAATTATTTTTCTCAACACTTCTCCTTAATTTAAGCTAACTAATTCACTAAATACTTCTTGCAATTATCGAATTTACAAGTATTTAAAGCTTTGGTTAAAATATCAGCTTTCTGTTCATTTGTTGAACAATACTTTAATTTAATTATTTTATTTTTTACCAGATCATGAACAAATCTATACTTAACATCTATATGTCTTGATCTTTTTATTAACAATTCCATTCGAAAAAAATATCAATGATATCGCACTTTGGTTGTCAATGTTAAGTTCGATTTTAATTTCTTTATTCAGTAATTCTTCTAATAAAGATTTTATATATAATAGTTCTTTGCAACATTCTGCAGCTGCTACATACTCCGCTTCTGTGCTTGACAAAACTATATTGGATTGTCTTCGTGTACACCAACTTATGGCTCCTTCGCCGTAAAAAATTATATATCCTATTGTACTACGTCTGGTTTGTATGTTTCCTGCAAAATCTACATCGCAGTATGCCTGCAACAAGCTTGTGTTTCCGTTACTGTTGAATTGTATTCCTTGATTGATTGTTCCATTTAGATATT